GAAGCGCTCCACAAGTATAGAGGAGCTCTGAAAGCCGGAATCCAGTGTACCCCAGGGAGAATATGGGTTTTAAGAGTTTCAGTGGTTTCCCCTCCCCTGATTTTGGATCTGTCAACTTAAACAAAGAAGTGGGTGCTGACAGGCTTATGGGTCCAAATGAAGAGGTGTCCAGGTCTATGTGACGGTCAAAGGGGCCCTGTTGGAATTAATAATAAGGCCTTCTGGGGCTGGAGAGATGACTTAGTGGTTAGGAGCCCTGGCTGCTCTTGCAGAGGACCTGGGTTCAATTCCCAGCATCCACATGGTGACTAACAATAGTAACTCCAGTTCCAAGGGATCCAACTCCCTCCTCTGACCTCCGAGGGCATTGCACGGCATGGGTTGGGTGCACTGCACTTACATACATGCAGGCAATACACATAAAAAATAATAAAAATAATTTTAAAAAAAGGCCTTCCTGCCAGACCCAGAAGAAGGCCATCTTTATTACTTTGTAGTGACCCTCCCAGGTCACTAACCACCCCCAAGTGGGTTAGTCTTATGCAGTTCTCTTAGCAGTTACAGACTTTGATGAGTGGTAGAAGGCTGTGACCTAAAAGCTATGGTTACTGAACAAGAAGCCAGTGCTGATGGCTACATGAAAGAGGAGTTGTGATAGTCAGTGAAAAGTTATGGCATTATAAAGCTAATGCCTCAGTAAACTGCCAGTCCAATTACTCCTACAAAACAGTCCTTTTTTTTCCCAAAACAGTGTTTTGGAATGTGTTTCTTGACTTGGAGCAACTTAGGGAAGGAAGACTTGGTTTCCTTAGATCAGTTTCCTTGTAGACTGATCTTGTAAGCATGCATTATTGGGGCTGGAGAGAGAGCTCGGCGGTTAAGAACACTGACTGCTCTTTCAGAGGACCCGGGTTCAATTCCTAGCACCCACATGGCAGCTATGAACCATCCTTAACTCCAGTTCCAGAGGAATCCAAAGCCCTCTTCTGACCACCATGGCATTGTACAACACGGGTGCACTCACATACATGCAGGCAATACACTCATACACATAAAATAAAAATAATAAATAAAATATTTTAAGAGTGCATTATCAGCACATACATGAAGCCATACATGACCTGTTCTAAAGCTTCTAAGATATCTTTTGCTATTTGGCTCATTATCTAGACACTCTCTTAAGTCTTTTATATGGATTGTACTTTTAATCAGCACCTTCACCCTACTAGGAAAAGTACAATTAATTCACTAGGGAGGAATTAGCAAAAGAGAAAAAGGTTAATAGCTTTCCCGACATCATACTTCTGAGAAACAGTAAACTCATTAATCCAAGATTCAAACAGGGACTCTGACTAGAAACCATGATTTGAATGGCCAAACTACACTGCTTTTGAAATTTTTCACCTGCTTCATAATCTGTCTCCTAAACTGGTTGATGGTTCTAATTCAATGTCTTCCCAGATTATGCTAATCCAGGGCTACATGGAAATTTGCCTTCTTGCCAGGATTTGAGTACTCTGATTCAGCCTCTAACACCCAGTGCCCATTGACAAATGTTTGCTGAAGTGACTGGTTCATTCCAGGCCACCACTGACTTACCCTTGGCTTAGAAGGTCCTATACTCTCTTCATGACAACATACTCTCCTGACTTTCATCCTTCCTCTCTGGCTCCCCTTTCAATCTACTTTTCTTCTGTCAATCACTTACATGGAAGTGTTGCCCATTGATTCATTCTCAGATCACGTCTCTGAGCCTAAACCTACCCTTTCTCCTGCTATCAACTACATAAGTTGTGGTCTACATGCTGATGCCCCCTACATGCGGATCTGCAACCCACATTCACTCCTAAGATTCCAGCTCACATGATCAGCCCCTCTACTGGAACAGAATAGCTCATAATCATTCAAAGTTAGTCTATCTAGAATTCCCTTCATCTATCTGCTCACTAGCTATTCAGAAACTGCTTGTCCTTTGCTTATCCTGCCTGTTAATAATATGATCTGAACAGCGGGCCAAGCCAGGAAACTTGGAATCACTTTGGCTTCCCTCTTTCCCTTATTCCTGAAATCTAGTTATGTTTCAAACCCTCCTGACAGCACATTTTAAATAGCTCTGTTCACTCTTCATTGTATGACTTCCAATGAGTTCCAGGCCACCATCGACTTACCTTTGGCTTAGAGGGACCAACTGAATAGCATTTCTTCCATGAACTCTCGAGATACCACCCCTTCTTACTTCACACTCTTTCTGGTCTGTTCACTTAGTGGCAAGTGCCTCAGACATTCTGATCTGACTCCAGGTCTTGTATATCTTTTCCTCCTGTTGGGTCTTGTTTCTCCTCTTTCTTCCCCTCACTACTAACTTGTCTAATTTCCATCACCAGTCAGACTGGAAGGGTGAGTAATTTCTACTTAGCAAGGCTTCTCTAATTTCACATCTTGGTTATGTTCTCCCCTGGAATCCCACAGTGCATCAAAGTTCTCTACAAAAGCACTTATGCTGTACTTTAATGCTTGTTTTAATATTTGAAAAGAAAGAGAAAGAAACAGTAACTTTGTACCTTTAAACTTAATGTGAGATCACTTATCTTTAAAGAAAGAGCCAGTGAAGGCCAGGCCCATGGCTAGGTGTTGTTTCAGACACCCTTTCAAATCCTCAGGCTGCCAGTACCTTAAGCTGTGGCTTCTCAGCTCCTCGTATGCTAATACGTGCACAGTGCACAAGAAAGACTCATGAAGGTCCCAGTGTGGGAGTTTTCATAAGCCAGGTCTTGAAATGACAGCCATCACTCTACTCATGTCCCACTGAATAGGACTCAGCACATGGCAACATCTGACTTCCTGGGAAGCTAAGAAAAGTTTATCTGTGTCAGCAAAACAAGAAAGAGAGGAGATTTGACGAGCTGCCACATGACACTTATTATCACTAAACTTCAAACTCTGTAAGATCAGAGTGACATTCTTTCTTTTTCCTTGATCCTTGAGATTAGTATGCAGTATGTATTTAATAGCGATTTTCTAGATCAACAAAGTTATACAGATCACTATGCATATCTTGCCTCATTTTAAATTCACTTTCTGATGTCACCTATTTAAATTTCTTCTAAGGAAGCTCCTAAAAGATCACCCATATTGACCAGTTTTTATGCAGTCACACATGATACCTCATCTCTTTGGATTACACTGGTAGGCTGCATTGCAGAAGAGTATTGTGATCATCTCTGGATATGAACTACTTGTAGATATATAAATCATATATCAACTTATTTACTATACACGTTCATTTCAAATATTTTTATCACCCATGTTCTCTCTAATTAACCTACACAGTTTTCTAAAATTGTGGCACTGGAGAAGCTGAGATGCCAGTTGGTACCCACCACAACATGAGACTACATGACTCCACTGCTGTCAGACTACAAGGATACTGTCACAGACACTGTACAACTTACACAGCATTCATTTTACAAGCACCTGAGAAATCCTTTCTATGATAAAAAGAATATCTTTCCTGAAAATTGACTTAATCATAAAATATATTAATCAGATAATATGTATTGCTTCTTTGCTAACATTTTCTACTACAAAATTCAGGCCAGACATGGGACTCTATAAACTAAGATGTCAAGAAATGCCTGTTGTATTCTACCCTTATTCTGGTTTCAACAATATTTAACTTTAGTATTTCTTTATTCTAATTTTCCTTTTTTATTCACTGTTTTATTTCCTATGCTGCATATTTATGTGAGCCACCATAGGTAGGTTTGGGAGCCGAGGAGAAATACAAACAATTAAAATATATTGAAACTTTGTCTCTCAAGAAGACACAAACAAAATTTCAAAGAGGAGGTGGGCATTTTCCTTCTTTCTTCTACTTTACTTTCTCTCCAGGGAAGCATTCACTTTTCAAGTGACTCTGAAGCATGCTTTCATTAAGGGTGAGAGGAGGCAAAGAAGAAGAGAATGAAAAATGATGTGTAGTAAAAGTGGAGATGACTCTGTAAGCTAAGAATTGAAATAAATATGAAACTACATTTAGTATATGGAAATATCATATATTTAAATGAAAATTCACTTTTACATAAGTTCCATGAAGACAGAAACCTTCATTGTTTATTACCACATCACCAGTGTGTAGAATAAAGACTGGTACACTGTAGATAATGAGAAAAAATGTATTTCAACCTGTGAATATAATCCATTTGAACTTAGGAGAACTGTATTAGTAGCAAAGAAAATACTTTGTATATCGGTTACATAACAGCAAGCATATAGTCCTTGTATTCAGCTTTTCATATACAAAATAAGGCAAAGTCTATGCATCCACTAAGGTTCTTCCCAAGTCTAATAGCCCCATGCTCTTGTTAAATTTCGTGGCATCATTAAACATGAGGCTATAAATACCTGTAGTGACTTGTAATTTTTGTTTTTAAAATAGGAAATCCAATTATGTCTTCAACAACCTTTATCAATGTTAATTCATCAACACCACATGCCACTCCTCAAAGGGAGTATAACAAGGCTTTCCTCCTATGCTTCAGATTTAACACATGCGTTTTACTATTGTGTCTGTAATACTGAGGTTTGGGTAAAAGTTTACATTTTTCACTTGATGATGGTGTTTGGGTTTAAGTTGCCCTATAATGACTACATATGGATATGACAATTACTGTAATTTTAACAGTAAAGGTTGATGATATGTATTATATCTTTCATTTGCCAATAGATTTTAAGGCAATATTAAAGTAAACTCTGTAACACTCCCAGTGATCTAAGTCGGTGACAAGGAGAGGAAAAGAAAAATCAATAATAGCAAGTTGGCACTAAACATGAAATACAGAGCCTCTACTTCATAAGAGCTAGTGACTTCTCATAGAGAAGTATATTTCCGATTTCAGATTTCCCTAAAGTCACACAGATTAAAAAGTCATTACATCAAAGCAAAGTTAAATTGTAACTTTACAAAAAATGTTGGATTCTGAAATTGTTTTGTTTTTCAGCCAGCAGACCTAACATGAGTACAGAAAGTTTCAACCATTTCCGGACCTTCAATGGCACAGATGCCAAAAACTGTTGAGTATAACTGTGGGTCCCTTGGTGTCCTCCAGACGTCATTCTGAACACCTGCACTGAGCAGTCACTATGTGCTTTGTTCAGAATCACATTCATGGGCTTTTACAAGGCATCTACTATGCTTAAAGTACTGTTGTATTAAGAATACGTATATGGATAAAACAGATCTAAATCCCAACTTCCGTATGAGGAAAGACAGATACACGATGATTGATGGTATGTAGGAGACAACTCAAAGACATGGAGAGAGTCAAGGGAAAAGGTGGACTACCCCGGTACCTGGTACCCTGTGTTAACGGTAAGGAGTCTAAGCTGGATGTGGTGGTAACACCTGTAATCCCAGCATTTGAGAGGTAGAGGCGAGAAGATCAGTAATTAAAAGTCATTCTCAACTGCATAGCTATGTCAAGGCCACTCTCTGCTGCATAGATAGCTCTTGAAACAAAAAGTACTGTCTCAGGAAGAAAGGGAAGGAAGGAAGTAAGGAAGGAAGGAAGGAAGGAAGGAAGGAAGGAAGG